CATTGATCTTTATGAAAACTCTCAACCATTATTTGGACCAATCTAAAACCTATCACAAAATAAATTGATTGCACTTAAAGAATACATTGATGAAAATTTGGCTAAAATCTTTATATGCCATTATAAATCTTTAGCCATGGCTCCTATCTTATTTATGAAGAAAAAAATTGATCTCTACAAATATGCATGAACTATTGAAGACTCAACAAGATCAATATTAAGAATATATATCCTCTATCTTTGATTTTAGGACTTCTTGATTAATTCAATCAAACAAAGATCTATATAAAAATAGATCTACAAAGAGCATACAATCTGATATGTATTAAATAAAGAGATGAATAAAAAGATTGCATTTTGAATTAGGCATGGAAATTTCAAATATAATATCATGCTTTTTAAACTCACAAATGTACTAGCTACTTTTCAACATCTAATGAATAATTTATTTTGTGAGTTCCTTGATGATATCATTATTTATTATTTAGATGACATCTTAATCTATTCTAAGAACACAAAAGAGCAATATTTTGCTCCAACATGCTCTAACAATCTTGCATTGCAAAAACTAAGAAATGCAAGATTATATGCCAAGATAGAAAAATTGATATTTTATACTACTCAAGTTGACTTCTTAGGATTTATCATCTTAGATGATGGTCTTATAATGGATTTTAAGAAGCTTTATATTATTATGGATTAGAAGATGTCAAAAATAATTAAAGATATGTAATATTTTTTAGAATTTGTGAATTATTACCAAATCTTCATTAATATTTTTTTTCAAATTTTGGCTCTTCTTACATTCTTGACGTGTAAAAATAAACTTAAGTGGAATAAAGAAGTAAAGCATTTTTTGAAGTTTTGAAGACAACATTTATTTTTATTTCAATCTTCTATCATGTCAATTTTTTTAAGGCATTCTTAATAGAAACAGATGTATCAAACTTTCTTGTAGATACAATTTTGTGACAAATAGGAAGAGATGACAAGCTCCACGTGATAGATTTTTATTCCAAAAAATTTTTAGCAACCAAGATAAACTATGAGATCTACAACAAAGAGCGTCTTGTAATCATGGATTCATTTCAAGGATGGTGTCATTATCTAAAAGATGCTTTAAATCTAATCACTATATATATGGATTATAAGAATCTTAAGTACTTCATTTCAGCATATATTTTGAATCACTACTAAATTTGTTAGAGCATGTCTTTATTAAGTTTTGATTTCAAGATTCCATATCATATGGTTTACTATCAATCCTCTTCGTTTAGATAATTTTTATTAAAACCTATTGTTAGTCCTCTTTTTAAAATGCCAATATCAATTATTTTCTTTTTTTTACTTTGATTTTCTCATTTATGTTCTTACAAAATAAATAAAAGTTCCTTCTACAAAAAGATAGTATTAAGACTAAAGTTTTTTCTACCTTCTTATTATTTATCTTTGTCTTTATACTATAGCTTTCTATTAGGCTCTTCTATAATAATATCCATGTTTTTATTTTCTAACCATATATTCATATTACTATACATCACTATTCCCAACTCTCATCCCTACCTCCCACAGTTGCCTCCATTTCCAATTCATATCTGTTCAATTCTATTGTCAGTATTTACTGTTACTTCAATTAAAACAAAATTCATATCCCATTTCAAACAACAAACCATTGAATTTTTTTTAGACTCTTTTTTTTGACTAAAAGTGATTTACAAATAAACTATTGATAATTTCCAAGTTGTTTAGGAATTACTTTCAACTTCAAGTTTGTTTAAAAGAATCTAAAGACAATGAAATTGTATGTAAGAGAACAATATAGTTTTAAGTTGGAATCACGTGTATCAATACAATCAGCTATTATTTTACCTTACAAATCAATGCCAATACTATTCTTCTACAAAAACTCTACAAAATTGTTGAAAGAATCATAGTATGATGAAACATGATCTATACTTTAGTTCACAATATATATATATATATATATATATATATATATATGAAAGCCTAGTTTTTAGACCATGGGGCTATTTTTTCAATATCATGTTTCTAATTGACCTCCACTCAATAAAACCTTAAGTTTGTTTTATAGATTCTTGTCTACAATGTCATAGAAAAAGCTTATGGATTGCATTTCTTGACAAATGAATTTGTGGCTATGCAAAACCACTACTTAGAAGACAACATAGCATGAGCGCCATAAATGAAAATTATATGCATATAAAATTAAAAGACAACCTTTCAACTAATTACTAGCTCCAGTAATAACGCAACGCCATGAAAAGTGAAGAAGTTTGTCACTTGCTACCTTTGCATTTATTATCCTTCCACTACCTTCTTGTGAATTTATTTTATTTTTTATTTTACATAAGTTGTCAGTGGAGTTTTTACAATGTATATTCAAGCTTGTTTTTTTGGGAATAGATTTGAGATAAGAAGGTATAGCAATAGAAGAGACAATGAGTCGAATAATTTACTCTTACTTTGATTCTTTGTGGAGGGTGTCTATTGCAATTGGATCTGGCTTGTGCATATTGTAGATGTCTCTTGAGATGGTATGAAACCTCAACTTGCTTGCCAAGGATTTATTGTTCGTAGATTGAATCTTTACATTTGTGTCAAGTGATGGTGACTATGCCTATGTTGGCTCATCTTTCTATTTGACACATCAAGGCAAAGAGGTTGAATAATGATAATAGTTTTTTCTTTAAAGACAATGCAAAAATCTGGTAATGTTTTTTTTAACTTTGATGCATTTAAGTGCAAAGAAGTTTAAAGGATATATGAATACCTTGAGCCTTTGCCACAACATGGGCCTAGAGTTACGTAAATTATTTTCTCATGCCAATCTTACCATTTTTTTATCAAGGTAGAGAGAATTTGCCTTAAGAAAGCATTGGACATCTGGCTGTCACTCATTGCTCAACCAAGCCTCAAGATAAAACAAAAACATCAAATTTATATATAAAATTGTCCTTGTAGTGGCAATTACATCAATACATAAGCCTTAAGTACCAAAGATCACCAAAAATGTGTTAAAAATATTATAAAACCTTGTTTATCTTTGAAATAAAATTTTTCCAAACTTCAACAGTTCAACTCTCATAATCAGACCATTCAAACAAACTCAAATCTTAAATGAAGTACTGATATACTTTTGAAAACTACCACAACAAATTTCAACTATAAATTTGTTACGGATCTTGAAATATTGCCTAAATCCTAATAGTAGCTTCAAACCTTTGCTTATATACACTAGTGTGCAAATTTCTTTATATCTCACAAAATAAGTATTCAAACACCATAAAATTTTGATATATAGCTTTTTAACCTAATAACACACATTTTTAGAAATTTTGAGCCAAAAATTCATCCCAAAATTCAAGATATGGCTCCAACCATTACTATCAACAAATTGACTTACTCCCTTTGAATTACATATCTTGTCTTCAACGCTCTATAACTTCTTTATACAAACTCCAAATACAAAAATTCTTTCGCAAGATATATAAATCTTAAAATCACCCTTGTGGCAGCTTCCTCTAATCTCCAAAATCTATCACAAAAATCCTTACATCCTCAAAATAGCAATAATAAGTCTTAAAAAGATACCTTAACTTCAAACAACTATAACTTCATCACCTTAACTCCAAATCCTCTAAAATTTGTACACAAATTGTAGCCCAAACACTAAACCTTACAACCCTGACTTCTAATTCTTGAATGCCCCTTCTGAAGTAGCCAAAATCCTTGTTATGCTCGTGGACAACCCATTGAATACCTATTAGGCATTCTAAAGTACATCAATACTTATAAATGTATTATCTATTTTAATTCATTTTTACATACTATAAACAATTACAATATGACGCCATCACTAACGAGTTCATTAGCATGCTTTTAGCCATAGGTTGCTACTTCACTATTGACTCCAAACAAATCCATGACCTCATCCATGATGTAGTTCTGTTTGTTCTTACTTTCCATAATGTGGTCTTCATTGTTGAATTCTTCCATATCTATAAACATGAGAAACTTACAAATTATTGCAAAATAGAGAGACAAAAAAAAATCAAGATGAAAGTTGAGAACATCAAAGATTGAATTGAAGAAGGTTGTGAATAGAGAGAGAATGGGAATTAGAAATAAGAGGGGTAGAGACAAGGGCCCTGATTGTAATAATGATTATGATAGGATGGATTAATTTAATAAATGAGTAGGTCATTTTAACATTTTTTATATTTATATATATATATATATATATATATATCTATATATATATTAGTTAATTAATACCAAAAATATAACTTAATACATTATACCTATTATTTTATTATCTACTATTTCAATTAATACAAAATATTAAAAAATATAATTTTTTGATAGTAAATTGAAGGATATATTCAAATTTTAATATAATAATTTTTTTGTTTTCTAAGAAATGCACGACATCTATGTCCAACAATTATTGCACTATTAAATTTGAATTTTATTTAATTAGTAGTTTGACAAAAGTAAGTGATGTTTTTAGTAACCAACATCAATTTTATAGATGTCTAATAAAAAGTTAAATCATTCCCATTTTGATAAATTATAATGTGCCTATAATTTTTTTACATACCTCAATCAAATTTATTACTTCTATATTTAGATTACACAAAAATTATGCATTTTACACTATTAGAAGCTAATAAATTTACAGATTCCCAAATTAATTATTTTTAATATTTTTAAAATCAAATATAGTTGGTCAAAATTTCTTTGTACATTAGAAAACTATTTTTGTAGAATATCTATTAACCAAGTTAATGAAGACTATAATAGAACATTTACGGTGTACTTCATATGTTTGTTATTGCTTAACAATTAGTATATGAAAATATAAAACTAAATTCGAAAGCATAGGGTTTTTAAGACTACCCATATGGTGGTGGATGCCCACCACGTTGGCAGATATGTCTGGCACCTTCCAAAGATCCAAGCCATAATCACAGCCCTCGAGCCTGCAATAGCCATCCAAAAGTGGCAATTCGAAGACTAATTTCGGTTCTCCCCCTACAAAACAGCAATATCATCGCTGCAATTCCAGCTGTGGCCTTCCCATACACAATTAGAATGACCCAATTTTTTACACTCACTACACTGATGCTAATGCCTAAAATTAACAAAGAAGAGTCACTTATAATTGAAAAATGGTACGTACACCAAGTAGTCCCCTTTTTCCGCTTAGTGACAATTTTACGGAATTTGTATTAATTAGCAGTCGCTTCCCGTCGAGGTTTCTTCCATGAGGTTTTTCTTCCCCATGAAAGACTGCTCTTTCTGAGATGAAGAAATGAAGCACAGGAATTGGAAATCTGAATTCCCTTCCAAGTGAATAAAAAAGTAAAAAAATACAGCAGGAGAAGAATTCATCTCGTAACAAGTTGAATGATTTCGTAAAAATATCCAGTAAAAATAACAGCTCCATGTTATAGTTTTGAGTGCTCTTGGTAGCAGAACATTACAAAAACGAAGGCGATTACTTCCAGGCTTTTTTGCCACGAAACTGCTTCTCGGCAGTTCGTCTCCCCATCTTCTTTCTGTTATTTGTTCTTTTGATAATTGCCCGCTTGGCCGCAAGAGGCATCCCTTTGCTTTTTTCCTTCTGCTTGTTGCTGGTGCCTCCAGTCTGCAAGCCAAATTAAATCATCATGGGCAGGCAACTAAGTTAGATGGTAGAGCATTTCTTTCAGAACATCATCGCCGAACTGTGAACCAACAAGAAATGATTCAAATCCTTGAATTCCACTACCAACAATCGAAGCAACGAACCACTTCATAATTCCGAAATGTTAGCCCAGACTCTCAGGAAGATGCACTAAAACAAAGAAAAGTCGGAAAATGAGATTTCGTTGTTTGAATTGGAAAGGACAATCACCTTCTTCTGCTTCATAGCAGTGCGGGCTCCGAATAGAGGGCGATCTTCCCGACCTGCTCTTACAGAAGCTTGTCTCTCTTCCTTCTCTTGCCTCTTACGTATTCTTGCCTGCAGGGCATTTCCCGATGCAAGTTATATAAGGGAAACATATGCAGACATAAAACTTAGACAAGAAGGAAAATGTACATGCTGAGCCCCACAATTTATATCTTTCTACTAAGACACGCAAACACTCTAAAAATAAAAATAAACTTTCACGTTTATTTCAAGACATTACAAGATGTAAAGGGACATGCATAGTTATACATGGAGAAAGTGATATAGCATACCTCTAAATGAGCTGGATTGACTCGTTTCTCATTCAGATTCCCATGTTTATCCAACTTGACTGCGATCTCTTGCCGGAATTTGCCAGCTTTGCTCAAACCATGCTCAGCCATAGCCGCCTTTGCTGCTCGCTTAGCCTATGAAGAGACAATGTAAAGCTTAAGACATCTTCCAACCCTCGTGACCAAGAATCGATCTAAACCTTTACGCAGTTAATCAATAAAATGTCAGGCATCTCCAGTTCCTAGCATGCAGTTTTGAGGAACCATGACACACGGTAACCTCTACATATTCTGGAGGAAAAACCCAAAATTCGGGACAAAACGCAAATTTATGAGTCTAATTACCTGCAGTTCTCGAATTCGCTGAAAGTCTTCATTTGAAAGGATTCCATCTCCATCACGGCTAACAACCTCAATGGCTGCTTTTTGCTCAACTTTTGAAGCATACATCTTTTTCAGTTGGCGTAAACTCTGACTAGTACTTGCTGGCTCTTCTGCTTCTGAACTTTTGATCTTTTGCCTCTTCTGTGATGACACAGGAGGAGCATCACCTTCCTGAGTTTGATTTGCTTCACAATCCATCTTTCTCTTTCGTAAACCTTTACTAGATTTCTCAAGTTCATCATCATCATCTTCTTCTTCTTCTTCTTCTTCTTCTTCCATATCACTGTCATCCTCAAGCCCTGTCAACACAACTTATAACACATCAGGCATAGAACACATTACCATACCAACATGTGCTCAAAGGAGGATGACTAAACCACATCTCTAACAATGAGGGAGGGTATCACATCACTTCTAAGAAGAGCATTCGGAATCTGATGATCAATATACCCTTCCTGGTGCACGAATGCCATAACACAAAGTATTACCTTCCATACCACTACTGCCAGCATCATCGGAGTCCCCGGCTTCCACGTCATGGTCCATTTCTTCGTCTTCACCCACGTCGGAACCTTCTTCCTCGCCACTTTCCACGGGTTCATCGTCACTAGCTTGGTCATCATTGTTCTCCTCATCATCTTCATTGTCCTCATCATCGTCATTACCACTCTCACCATCTGCTAGCAGCTCAATACCTGAAATACCTTCTGCAACCACTTTCTCCCCAAATGCTTTAGGCTTTACAGCAAGATCCGCACCACGTCCCCTATCCTTTTTATCCAAGAGAGCTGGGAAAACCTGAGACCAAAGAGAACGCAATTTAGAATTTTAGTAGATGAACAGATTTAGTACCAGGCAACTAGTAACGCGAGCCATAATAAAATGAGATAAACACACTTGGCATTTCAAGAAACACGCAAATTAGAAATTGAGAATTTCACTATTGACGAAAAAATGAATACATTCAATATGATGGAATGAAATAAGACCTGACGATAAACGGATATGATGGACCGAGCGGCGGCTGAAACAGCTTTCTCCCGAGATTTCTTATACAGAGCCAAATCCGTCAACAACTCTTTTGTCATAATCAATGGTATGCGCATACATATCTCACGAACGACATTCAGACCCACTGCCATGACCTCCGGCCTAGCGCGATCATGCACAAATTGGTTAACAAGTTGTCGAATCATTGACTCTACTGCATCCGGGGGTACATCATCATGGCAGGATTGTACTGCTGCCGCAAGCAGTTGAGTTACATCCCGTTGATGAGGCTGGATATAACGCTGAAGGTAAGGATAGAAGTTGAGTAGGATCAATTTGTGAAGACCAACTGCCCTTGAGATAACTTGCATCATCATCAATTTGATTTCAAATCGTTCTGTGCACCCTTGAAGTCGCCTAAACAACTTCTCCGCAAAATTTTGAGGGTCGTGCACATGCTGTAGAGGAGCATGAGAACCGTGATCCATTTCCCGGGATTTATTGCGCTGCTGCTTCGCTAAACTCCGCATCACCCTTTCTAGTTTAGCTTGTTTCTTTTTCTTACTAGAATTCGTACCTTTTTTATGGGCCTTGTAAATCTCCTCCTTGCTTACCGCTGGTATTCCTGGCTTTTTACCATCGTCTTCGTCATCACTTGATTCATCTTCATCTTCTTCCTCTACAGCCTGATCATAACCAAGAAGGTATCGAAGCGCGGAGATCATTATCCGCGAAGACTTGTGGAAACAAGCATTGCATATCGCATTGGATGTACGCTCATCCACCCAAACTTTGCGACGGTTCAATTCCGCCAGCACTGCTAGCGCGCGTTTGGACTTATTCTCATCTTCGTCCTGTCACCCAGGACAACGAGCCTACCGCCGTTAAAACCCGTCATTCTGTGCTATTTCCATGATGTTATATAACTTGACGCAACTGAAACCAACATCTATCAAATTTCCAATCCCAATTCTCCACTCAAGCTGAACACTCTGATATACCTGAAGTGAATTGAACAAAATATTTTGGAGAGGCTTATTCACGGGATCGTTTTTGTTTTTGATGTTAAGACGGCGGATGTCTTGGACAACGTGCGAGTAGGAAAGCTTCCTAAGAGCCCGGTCACCGCCAAGTTGCAGGTCCATGAATACGGGCAACGCATCAATCAGACTAATCATCTGCCATCAGTCATAACACTGCAGTCAACTGTGTGTCCCAAGCCGTAGTGAACGAATATTCACAGGAAATACGGCTGAAAACGAACACGAGTGGTGAAAAATGGCATAGACCTACTTTTCGGTTACGGAGAAGAACAAGAGCTTGTGTTAACTGTCTGCGTAGTGTGGGCTGAATGGTAGCACCATGAGACTTTAACAACTGAAGCAATTGCATAGGAAACTTCCCAAGATGCTGAGGGTAAAGAGGCGTCATATGGGCCAAAAACATGGCCATGTCGGCTAGCTCTTTCGCCGCCGCAGGGTCACTTGCAGCAGAATTGTTCGACCCCGCAGTCATTGGCTGAAGCAAGAAGATCGAAAGGCAGGCATCAAAGTGGCGGAGCTGCAGTAAGAGCTCATTTTCGTATCCTTCCGGGTCTCTCTTGCAGCGGCCCTGCAAGGCAAGCAGGTCGCCAATCCTCTCCGCTCCCCTGCCCCCCGATGCTACTGTCAACCCTGCCACCATCTTAACTCCCTGAACTTTGCGGGGGCTTGCTACTACTCCTTGCCACTCATCTCTTCAAACAAAAAGACACAGAATTGTCAGCATTCTCCCTTCAAGTGCGCATATAAACCATAGCACACGGCCAACGCCGAACTCCTAGAGAGTTCTTCACCACGCAAACCCTAAATCCCCAAATTCTGTCCAAAACAGACCTTAAACCCTAAACCCAGAAGGAAACATTCCTGCACATTATCAACTTCAAGCCCCACAAGAGTTTGAGAGAGAGAGAGAGAGAGAGAGAGAGAGAGAGGAATCAAACACCACGAGAAACTCTGCTTGTCTAGGCATCAAGTTCAGACTCACCAAATGACCTAAAATAAAGCAAATTTCACAGGACTGCTCGACGTCTCGTAGTAGGTAATTGCAGCTAGCGTTCTCCGACTAGTGTGTTTTTCTGCCTCTTCTTCTTCTTCTTCCTCTTCTTCTTTTCAACACTCTCGACAACTCACGACGAAATTAAATTTGAAGGTCGAAGAGATTGAAGAGAAGAGTGTTAAAAAGAGGAATGCGAGAAAAATTTGTCCCAGCAGCCTGAAGAAGCTCTCGAGGTTTTGAGGAATGCGGCGAAACCCATCCTGGATGAATGATATTTCGTCATCCGTATTTCGTATGTTTGCATTCGTTCACGTTCATTAAGAGGGGTTGCAGAAAACAACTAAACATGTTGAAACTGCGAAGTAAACGTAACTAAAAACTGTATTTTTTAATTGTTTTTTGTTTTGTTTTGTTCTGTTTGTTTTCTTTTTCTTTTTTCTTTTTTCTTTTTTTTTGGAACCTTGTGAAGAATGAAATCCACGCAAATTCCACTCTCTTAAATTTCAATAATTTATTCACTCGAATTAGCAAAAAAGAGTATTTCATAGCTGATTAAAGAACATGGTTGCACAACCTTAGGTCAGTGAACAGCATTCGAAACAAAAACATGTATACCATCGTTGAAAGTTTGAAACTGGTTGGAATTCTAATTTTCATATCTGCATTCCATACAAATGTATTCAAAACCATTAAAAATATTAATAATAAAAAGAAAAATATGTACCAGTGAATTTTTAAATACTTAATTTCAACTAATTATTACAGATGAATAAATCCAACAATTGAATATTGGATTACCATGAAACCCGCTGGACTTCTTAGAAACACCCCCAAGAGATTTTATTCTCGAGTTAAAACAAGCAGTTTTGTATTCCATGTATAGTACATATACATACACAAAATCACTCAAGATCGTGACGATGGTAAGAACCCAGAAACCATCAGCTTCAAACTAATATCTTTATCACACAATATAATGCTAATAATAACAACAACAATCTCCAGTTTTAATTTTTATCACAAAGTGGAGATTCTTGCATTGGTGTGGATAGTACCCATTTGATGGTGTCGGAAGAAACCAGCAGAGTTGAGATGTTAGGTTGAATCCTTCGGCGATATTCCAGAAACCCTAACTGTGTCTGATTTTCCCCCCATCGTTTGTTGCAGCAGGATTTAGCTTATCCATCCAGGGATCCTTCGTGGTGCATGATTCCGTGTGCGGCATCTTCCATAGAAATTCGTCACTCGCCGACTCCTCGTGAAGCCCATGAATGCGGAATTCGATGAATGTGTATCCTTCGGGGAAAGGAAACCCAGAAAGGGGCTCAGAGTCAAGGCGTTTCTAGAATCTCGCTGCCTCTCAATGCCACAGAAATTCTGTTGCTTCACCACCTCGCAGCTCCGTTTACAGCTGCTAACTATCGTTGCTTCGACAGTTTCTGAAACGATTGCACTTGGGGTGATGCTCACCTGCAACCTGCGAAATCACCACTTACCTGGGTCAGTTCTTCGCTGTCTCTTTTCTCCCAAACTATTGCCTTCTGCACGTTGTCATATTGTTGGTTTGTAATTCACCCGCTGGGAGGAGGAGCTCCAGCCGTCTGAATTTCCCATTCCGTGAGTTTAATTTAGTCTACTGTATGTCTTTTTGGGACTTGCGTTTGAAAATCCCCATCTCATGCAATCAGCTAGCTCACCCAATTCCTTCGTTGCAAACGCGCGTGAAATTTCAACATTCGTGTTGTCAGGCTTCGTCTTGAGCACTGTAAACGTGGGTTTTGACCTTATTTTAGCAGATGCTGATGTGTATCTAAGAACGTTCCGTGCAGAGATTATTGAGGCAGCGAATTGGGTGCGAAAGCGTCGTAGAAATTCCCTGGAAGGTTGATGCAGAGTTGCTGCTTTCAATTAGATATGGTGTGCTGCCTCTGAAAGCCAGGTTCCCCGCCATGGCAATACTTCACTCGCGTCACACATTTTTGTCAGTCCTAAACCCTGGCCACAACCTCCGACAAAGCTCATCGTGTCTAAGAAGAAATATACTCCAGGTAATTACGCCTCACTTTATTCACAAAGTCCTCCAAGTGATCTAGGGTTTAGTAATGCGAAACTGCACGATCGTTTCTGTCATGCCGCCATTTCATCGTTGCCTTCTTGATGTACTCATGGTTGTCAATTTTGCGACAAATCCAGGCATTCGAGCCAAATTTTTCTAAAGGCGCAACGTCGGCATTGGTGGTTTGCAACGCTGAAAGCCCCTTTGGAGTGGCGGACCTGAAGCAGTCTGAGCGAAGCTCCTTCGTTTCTCGTTGTGATGGGCTTGCTCTAAATCATGGAAGGTTTGGTGTTTTTATTGATTCTATTGGCTCACAGTTGCTTTGTGCATCATAAATTTCTTTCGAGAATTCTAGCAAGGCTTTTCATGTCGCATTTGACATGAAGAACAGTGTGCAATATTAATCGAGTTTCTGTTGAACAGGGTGATTATGAATGCGGTGGACAGAATCGACTCTGATGAGGAGCTCCTGGATAATCAGGACCGCATAATTGGGGCATTGCAAATCGGAGTGATCGGCTGTCGAAGATCAGCTTCCTGGGTTAGCCTACCACATGTGTTCCCTGCGTTTTTCTTTGGAACAGGGTTTGCATAGGCTCCCTATAAGTATCCCTATCCTTTAAGCATTTTGCATGTCTCCAGTTGCTTCAGGGGAAGGGCATGATGTGATACTAAAGCAGATTTACCTCTTCGTCCAGATATGTTTTGGTGGCGGTAAAAGGCCCCGACGGAAGCGAGCATGGAAGACTACGAATAGGAAAGGTTCGTTTGCTAAAGCTCGAAAGCTCGTGGATCTCATTGACGAGACGCCACCTGCCAAGGAGGATATTTACGGGGCGTTAGATGCCTTTGTTGCGTGGGAGCTGGAGTTTCCTATCATTGCTATCAAGAAAGCGATGGCATTCATGGCCGAAGAACAAAAATGGAGACAGATAATACAGGTGTGTGGTTGTCAATACAACTCCTCTAGTGTGAACATCATCAATGGAATTGTGTGAGGAGAAGATGAAGGTGCTATTCGTGTATTCAAACCAGCATCAACAGAGTAGAGCTGTATTATTATTATTATTTTTTGTTTGCTTTGTTCTCATTATTATTATTATTATTATTATTTTCCTGCAGGTCTCGAAGTGGATGCTAAGCAAAGGGCAAGGGAAGACTATGGGCACATTCACGCTTCTGCTGGAGGCTTTGGATCACGAGGGGCGTGTAGAGGAAGCTGACGCGCTTTTTGAAAAATTACTTACTGAACACGAGGATGCAACTCCGCGCTATATGTTCACGGTCGTTATAGCCATGTTTGAGCGGCATAATAACCCCAGGAGGCTTCTTCAGGTAAATTAGCGAACAAACCATTTAAAACTGCTTGTTCAGATTCCTCAAATCTCAAGAATTTCATCTGTTTATTCATTTTCAAATCTTTGCTGCAAAAAGCATTGGCAATTGCAGATTCATTCAGATCGTTTGTCTACTTGTAGCTTAGGCTATGTGCACAAGTGTGTGAGGATGTCACAGAAGGAAAGTTTATGTTTTGAAGGTGTTTGCGGATATGGAGGAATTGGAGATAAAGCCGGACATGGTTACTGTGGAGCGAGTGGCAAGAACTTACAGAAGTATAGGATTGATGAAGAGGGCAGAAGCTGTCGAGGCCAAGTATCCGCCTACAAAATGGGGATTCAGGTATAAGAGAGGCAAAGCTTATAGAGTAAGGGTTACTGCCGATGATAAGGTTATCAAATCTGACGGTTCCGGTAAATCCGACGATTCCGGTAAAACAGAGTCGGGTGCAGAAGAGGGAGAGGAAAGTGATGTGGATTCAGATAGTGACGATGAGGGGTTTACGTACGAAGACGAGGATTTTACCAGAGAGACAATTCTTTCTACTTAATTCCTACAGTGTTCTTTCATCGGCAGAGCACTGTCCCGCGAGGGACCGAAATTCGATTTATTCTTATGCATTTATTTTTTTAACACGAGAACTATTTTAAGGGGTGGTATCAAGTCCTGGAATAGCTGTCTGCCGTTCGTGGAAAATTATCATGGATGACTTGGAAGTTGCGAAAAGTTGCATTGTCGACTGACAAAGTCGGTGAACATTAGGACTATTCAGAAGCAGCTCTTGGTGGTAAGATTATATGTGAGGTGTTTCGTTGGAGTATTGTTGCTGCATATTGTGGACATGTGCTTTTCAACCACGTAGTAAAATATGAAATAGATATAGGTTCATGTTTCAAGAGATTTTCCTACTGGGCTTGGACTACTGCTGCAACATGAGATTCTCTCTGCACCTTGGAATGCAACCAGTCAAGAATTTGTGGCTCAAAACATCGAGAAAATGGTAGCACTTAGCTTACTTGAAATGCTTAGGAGTTGTTACTGAATCTTAGTCGTATTTATGGATTTGAAGACCGAAATTCAATGTTCTCCACCCCATACCAAAGAAACAGTGAGATCATCTCTTTATCCATCAATACCACAGCGTTGTAATCGCTGGCGAACAATTATAGCATATTGTTGTAATACCATCTTTTGCAAATTTCTAAGCCATTCAAACTTATCTCACAAACATTGTTTCTTTGTTGAGGTTTCAGATGATAAGAGAGATAATCCTTGTATCATTCTTACTTTTGCTTAAATGTCACAAGTACCTCAGCCTCTCCATTTGTATTCATGCTGAGGACTTTCCTTTTCTTTTGGCTTTCTTTTTCTTGTTTATTTAAACATGGTTTAGGATTATACAAGGGGATCACATCTTCACAATTAGACTGGTATCACTTTGTTGCAAGGTTTTTCTTATTTGTAATTTTATTGTTGTAAGATAATTTTGTACATTTGAGTGTATATATATATATATATATATATATATATATGAATTAGTGTACAAATTTCAACTTTTATTGTAAGTTTTTATTTGAGTATTTATTTGAGTATTTATTTGTTATATATAATTAAAGTGATTAAATTTTAAAATATTATATCAAAAAAAAATTTAATAAAATATTTTAATTATTAAAAAAAACAATGTTATAATTAAAAGAATAAAATATAATAAGTATTATTACAAAAGTAGTTTTTTTGGAAATATGTTGCATTTTTGTTTTATTATATTATACATTGATTATTTATTGAATTATATACATATATTATGTGTATAATTAATATATTATTTATATTGTTTATTAATTATAAAACTAACATACTAAATGGATATTAGATTTAGTATATAATTCATAGCAAAAAATAGGCAATTTGCTTCAGATTTGAGAAGACTACAAATTATATATATATATATATATATATATATATATTCATACATGCTTTGAAATAGAACCGAACTATCTCAAAAATCTAAGATCCTTTTAATCTACAACAACATTAATCCCATCACAAAGTAAAACAAAATGGACCAAAATAAAATTGAACAGAACTAAACAAAATAAGGCACAAAATACAAAACTAAGCAAAAGGAAATAAAATAGAACAAAACTAAATATGAAGATTCAAATTCAAACTTTACCAAGAAAAAGGATTGGAAGCCATACTTGACAAGATGCCCAAATGGCCCTGGCTAGTCCTATTTATACTTTGTCCAACCATCTTGGAATTTTCTAGAATATTTGTAATGATGGATCTTACCTAAATAACTGCCTTGAACACTTTATAGAATGTTCTTTGGTGGATCCTACATAATCCACTAATCTAGCCCCAATTCTAAAAACCTTTATAAACTTCTCAAACATAGCTCCAACTATCTATCTTTATGCTTCAATAATATAATATCTTATTTATATTCTAATATACTTAATCTCCCTCTACTAAAATGGAATGTCCTTGTTTTGCTCCCAATAGTATTTCCAAATTGTTTCTTAGTAATGGATGAGGTTCTATATAGGTTTCTACGTTGTATCGTAGATGAGATAACCTTTTCAAAGGACTTTGTATTGAAGTTGTGGACATCTATTGCTATGGCAAAGGTAGTCATGCTCCAAAATAGTGTCCACTTCTTGGTCATCAACTACAATTGGTAGTGGTCATGCTTAGTGTTGGTCCAAAAAGCACCTTGGCTTAATATGAAATTCCTTGAGTTGCAAAACATAGAAGACCAAATAGACCCAAGTATGTAGCAAAAGTTGGAGGTATTATGTGACATTAGAAATTACTACAAAAATGCAGAAAGGTCTAAGCCACTAAGATGCCATCTTATAGATTTGGGTTGATGTAGCAAGTAACAAATTGGAGTTCAAGAGAAACACCTGATTATTTTCTTAGAAGGACTTGTATTATGAGTGGTTATCCGCTGTCGTATTATGTGTTGTTTTGCTCAAGAATGCACCGGACACTTAGCTGTGGAAGGTGAGATTATGTTTCACAAGTAGGCAAGAAACTCTAATAGGTTTCACCCATGCGAGAAGAATATAATCTAAATTTCAATTCAAAAGTGCTTAAAACACTCTTCTTAGTAGTCTTAACCATATATAAATCCCAATTACCTTGTTACTTTCATATTTAAGCAATTTAGATTTTTTTTCTTGTAAACTCTAATCCTAGTCAGTGAGCTTTAACAAGTTGTAACATCCAATCCGACCATCCACTTGATGTGGAATTTTGCACACAATTGTCAATGCAAGTCTTCTAAATGCTTAAGAATTTTTAGCACAATCCAATTTACAGATTGTGAGAAAACCTCCAAAAATTGCACCAATGTCACTCGGCCGCCAACTTGAAAAGTAAAGCAAAAATCCCAGCAATAATTTCTCCTTCTTTAACCGTTAACTTTGTCTCAAAATTTGTGTATAGCTTGATCTTTAAGTCTTCCAACACCATGCCAATTTTCACCTTTATCCGACTGATAGATCTTCAGATATCATAGAAACCCTATCCAACCTCAAATTGCTACCTTCTAAAACCTTCTTGTGCTAAAAACTAGATATCTCTAAACCACGTCATTAGATTATCACAAAATTTTGTATAAACTTAGCAATCCTAATAATCCAAATAATATCAAATTTTTAACCATAGATGTCATGCCAATTGCACGAACTAGCCAAAATTGCTAGCCCTAATTATATTATATAAAACCCAAATCACTGATACAAATCCTAACTTTGAACAACAATTGCTAAGTCCTCCAAAATTCTTTCAAAATAAATCTTATATCTTTGGAAAGAAATTTAAGCTAACTTTCCAACCTTAACCTTTGATATTCAAATAAAATCCTATTTTGCCCTAAGCCATTATTTTAGTGGCCAAAGATTTGATTTCCACCCTTTCTCATAAACGGTTGATCCCCGGGTATCAATCTATCCTATCCTAAGGATTTTTTAGCCCAATCCTACTTTCAACTTAATCTTAGTATCAATTATACTAATTATTTATCTCCTCTAATCTAATTTCATCAATTTATGGTCTTTCTAAGGTAGTAGAAGAGTCTCTAGAACCTAGAAGGTAAAATTACTAACTAACTTTCAACTTACTAATTATTAAGTTAAGAAAATAACCTAAGAGGCTTTTATAAAGCCATGTTTAGATACCTCAAATTATAATTAAACTAAAATAATTAGATATTAATTAGAAATTTAATTTTGATTATAATTTCACTATATAGTCATATTACATTACGACACCGCATATTGCTTTTGTTGATTCTTTGTGGTAAAGAGGTGGTATTGTACTTCCTATAAGATAATTGTAAGCCATTGTATAAATTCCTTTATTGTTGAATTATTGGTATCAATAGAATGATAAAGAGTTGTTGGCGTAATCAAATACTGACTGATATTAAGAAATAATGGTGACTGATTAGTACTTGCTCAAATACTATCATTGTAAGCAAATTCCAAGGGCATTAAATATTCATCTGAGTCATTATAATGAACTGCCACAAATGCTTGTAGTATATCCTCTAAAGTTTGATTTGTATGCTTTATTTGTCAATCTGTTTAGAGATGGAAGGTCATAGATATAGCAAGTTGTATGGCCAATAGCTTGAACAAGGCCTATCAAAAACTTCTTGTAAAGTGTAGATCTTGATTTGAAACAATGACACAAGATAATCCATGGTGACGAAAGAAAATATTAAAGAAGACTTATGAAAGTGCTGGAGCATCAATATTAAAGCATACTATTTTCAAATGAAGTTGTTTTGAAAGTTGGTGTAGAAAGACATCAATTGTGATGTAATCGTGAGGCATCTGCAGCAAATATGTAATGAGATCCATAGTCATTTGCTCCCAACGTGCTGTAGGTGGTAGAATTGGCTACAATAGTCTAAGAGATGTTGCATTGCATACTTTCTTACATTGGTATAATATGTAGGAGTGCACAAAAGTTCAAACATTATAATCCAAATCTACGTAAAACCATATCCTTAAGATCCATTCTAAAGTCTTCTCATACCTTAGATGTCCAAATATTGGGATATCATGTCCTTCTTAAAGTTTGTCTGTCCGAAGTATAACATTGTGAGGTATATAAATTTGCTTCTTGAAATAGAACAAGCCATCATTAAGACTATAATCTTGATATTATACATTACCTATTTTCAATTGATTGCTAACTATATTGAAATAAATATCTTAATATATAGATTCTTTTCATTCTACTTCTTTAATTAGGTTTGAAATAATACTACTAATAGTAGTGACTTCTATCTTATCTTCCAATTTGGTTTGTATGATAAGGTGTCTGGCACCATATATTGTCGCCTTTACTTGTACTCTAGTTGAATGTCAAAAAAAATATAATTGTTCTCTTCAATAATGATATTGTGATTTCATATTTTCTAAATATAAATCATATAATTAAGATCAATAGTCAGTCTGAACAATCACCAACTTTCTTAATAAATAGTATTACCACATCTTTGTGGCATGTATAATCACTAATTTTTCTCGATCACATGTAAAGTAATTATGCTCTATTCTTCTAAGCTTGCATGATTCATACACTAAAAATTGAAGGCCCCTATCAAAGTCTTATAAAGAACTGCTCTAATAGCAAAGTTGGAAGCA